TAAAAGCTTCATCAACATGGTGCTGTGGCACTGCTGCAGTTTGAATGTGTCCTTCAAAATTTGTGTGTTGGTCATGGGGTAGGGCATGATGGGACTGGTGGCTTTATAAGAGGAAGAAAGACCTAGTATGGCATGTTCTTGGTTTTTTGCCATGTGATGTCCCCCACTCTGTTATGACTCAGTAAGAAGGCCCTCTCCAGATGCCAGCAACATGTCCTTGGACTTTTCAGCCTCCAGAACTGTAAGAAATAAGTGGATTTCTTTTCTTTATTAATTACTCAGTCTATGGTATTCTGTTATAGCAACAGAAAATGAACTAAGACAGGTACAAAGGAGTTCCGAGCCTGCTGGAGTGAACACCAGACCCTGAATTTCAGGGTTTTACCAAGAGACTGCTTGCCATGAGGCCCACCTTCTTTTTCTGACCTTTATCTCCAATTTAAATACCTGCTATTGTCTGAGGGTGGCCCTGGCCCCTCACTCTTCCCTTGTAGGTTTTCTGGCTATTTCCAGTTCTGGTGTGTCTTTTGGAAGGGCAGGCTGGTAGTGTCACGGGCCTGGGTAGACAGGGATGCTGGCTACAAGGGTCTCAGCCTTAGAGGCCTGGGACCGTTGGGAACAGAGTACAAAGTTCCTTTCTTCTTTTGATGAGATTTGACTCTCAAATATGGCTGTCACCATCTGAATGATGAGACCATACCCTTTTTGAGGGATGGAAGTGATCTGGACCACATTTGGTCTGGGATCTTTTGCTCCCAGCCCAGACTTTCTGGTCTGCCTTGCTGGGTGGCTTTATTGAGCTAGAGAACACCAAGGGAGTTTGTGCCGTGCCCTGGGGACAGTTGCTAAGGCTGCCTCCTACCCTCAGGGGCCTGGTGATGGCTGCCCACTCCCCCTTGTTGGCTCCATGGACAGCTGGACTCGAATCCCTGAAATGAAATCCCAGAACATGGGTTAACTGCCTTTAGGGCCATGGCTCAGTGGGCCAGGTTTCTGCAAGATATTGTGTGGCACGTATCTGTTTTGGGCTCTCAGAGGTTCATGAGCATCAAATCCAATGTATGTGGGCCCCATACTCGTGTGGATGGTAAAACATGCTCACAAACTGGGCTAAGTGTCTGAATAAAGGTATCATTGCTACAGTGAAAACCAGAGGGTGAAACAGAAAATGATTTTAACAGAAAAAGTTTATTTTAAGAAGACACAAACAGCTCTAGCTATATAAAGAATACAGTTCAATTGCTGGTAGCAAGCCAATAAGGAATGCTTTTTTTTTTTTTTTTTTTTTTTTTCAAAGAAAGACAAGAAAAATCCTTTGTAATATCACCCCACAGAGGGCTCCCTTCCATTTTGTGTTGGAATCCTAAAAAGACGGGGATCATGATCTCTCCTTCTTTCTGCTTCTTCTTGAAATGTTTATCCAGGGACACATTCTCAACTCTACGAGACATGTCTTATCTGTTCCTTCCAGTTTAGGATATTGGTCTGTAAATTCTTGTCTCCCTTATTTTTGTAAGTGCGTTGTTGGCACTCAGTAAGCACTAACTGGTAAGGGCTAACTTAACAAAAGTCCACCTCCTGACTGCATACTAGGACTGGTCAGTGCTCATTCCTCAGTTTGCTTTTGGCAAGTGTAGTATTTTTGCTGCTTTTGGATCCAAGGCACAAGCCTGGTTTCCCTTCCTAATTCTGGAAATCCCAAACAGAAGGCATAAAGGAACTGTTTCATGGATGCTTTTAAATAGGGAAATTCTGAAAATTACTTGCAACTCGGATTTTTTAAGACTTAGATTTCAGTAAGTGGGTAGATCCCTGGGCTCAAATGACAGAAATCAAGGCAAAGATTCTAAGAAGCAATTTGCTGAGCTAGGAAAAGCTGCAGCCTGAGAGCTAGGTCCAAGTGACTAAGCCCACATCGAATTAGAGTGCTAGCCCTCTGTATGTTAGCATGTTTTGAATTGCCAATGGAAAGAAGGTACAAAAGGCAAGAAAGGGCAAATGCTTCAGGAGCCCCCACCATCCCCTTCTTGACCATTCCCATCAGATCTGGACCTAAACCAGAGAACTGATGAGGGTGCTGGACAGTGTGTGTGTGTGTGTGTGTGTGTGTGTGTTGTGATTTATTAGTGAATTTATTAGCCCTCACAGTCCAGGTTGAGAAACCATACTCACAGAGACACATACATCTCATCCATTCTTATCCCCCAGTGTTTATATGAAAAAATGTGAAAATATGAATCTGAGCTTCAGACTCCCAAGAAGCATGAGGGATGGAGATGGGAGCAGGATGGAGAGAGATGTGAAGAAGCTTTAGAACAGAATCCATATAGAGGTTCAGAAAACTGGAAGAGGTGATGTGCTGAATGTCTCATGGCTGTGTTGTTGCATGGGCAATCTGAAGGAGCCCATCTCTAGGTGCTGAGGGTCCAGAAGGCAGGGAAAAACTGTGGGCACAGAATACCTTCTGCACCTCATTGGTTTTCTCACTAGGGCTGAGTGCTCTGTCTAGAGCAATTCCAAACTACATTAGGAAATAGATACATGGATATTCCGGGTTTAAAAACCAGCCTTTGGAACCTGGTGATTTCCCTAGGAAATCATAGGCTGAACTGGAATCCTATAGCCTGGGCTGACAGGCTTTCCAATGACAGCCCTAGCTTGTGATATTAGTATGAGGCAGGACAGGGTAGACCAGGGTGGGGGTCCCCAACCACAGATTTGGGGGAGAAGTTATGGGACAAAATAAGTAAGAACCCCAAACCCAGGGAAGCAGAGGCACATTGGATAACAAGGATAGGTCTGGGGAAAAGAATGAGGGTTTCTGCACTGAGGTAGTCAGTAATGAGAGAGAGAGAGAAAAAGAGAGAGAGAGACAGAGAGCATTCATGAAGGACACCCTATTGAAGAGTAATGATCGGCATATGCAGTCCCTCTCCACCTGCCCCCGTGCAGTCAGACTGGTCTGACAATGCAGTAGATGGGAAGGCAATGAACCACATCAGCTACTGCACAACTCAGTTATCACATGGGGCATTTCACAGAAATGCTTGTGCCAGAAGACAGTCTGAATCAGGGGTCAGCCTAAGACTTTGCATGGCCCATGAGCTAAGAATGGTTTACATTGGCTGGGTGTGGTGGCTCACGCCTGTAATCCCAGCGCTTTGGGAGGCCTAGGCGGCAGATCACAAGGTCAGGAGATCGAGCCCATCCTGGCCAACATGGTGAAACTCTGTCTCTACTAAAAATACAAAAAAACTAGCTGGGCATGTTGGCATGCGCCTGTAGACCCAGTTACTCAGGAGGCTGAGGCGGGAGGTTGCAGGTTGCAGTGAGCCGTGACCACACCACTGCACTACAGCCTGGTGACAGAGTGAGACTACACCTAAAAAAAAAAAAAAAAAGAATGGTTTACGTTATCCAAAGGTTGTGAAACAAACTAATGAACAAACAGCAGCAACAAAGAAGAATGTGCTAGAGACCATATGTAGCCCACAAAGCCTAAAATAGTTACTGTCTTGACCTTTACAGAATTTGTCAATCTCCCACTTAGATGATGGGGGAAATCTCATCAATTAAGCCTCTGGGCATGCTCGAAAAGAGAAACCAGAGGAGATCCAGGAGAAACAAGGGAACAATGGAAAATAAATAGAAATGCCAATCAATTTGACCAGTGTACCTCTAAAAGATGCACAACTTGCAATTCCACAGAATAGTAAGGTAAACACGAACTAAGGAAGGAGCCCCTAACTAAAGAGAGAGCCACACTAAGGAACATTATGTAAAGAATGTTCTGGAAAAGAGACTGCATGCGGAGCTTAGTACTGATTAGGGAATTCTGTTCCTGTTTGGTAAGATGGAGATGGAATTTGAGCCCGGGGATTGACAGAATATCAAGCTAAGTGAAATTTCTAGAACACAACTAAATATCTCATGAGCATTTAACAGTCTGAAAATTTCTCATAGAGATTAAGAAGGGAAGGTTAAAGTAGATTCTGGTAAAGCTAATATTGATTGAGTTGTGCCCTATTTTAAATAAAAACCAAATACAAAAGTTTGCACTAAAAAAAGTAGAGACATTATGAGATAATGACAAGAGAAAACTTGGTTTTTCAAAAAGAAGTCACCAGAAGGTTCCTTTACATAGGAAGTTTACCTACTAAAAAATGATACTTGATCTATAAAAAAATCATTTTTCATACAACTTTTAGGAAAATCATCCATTGTACTAAGTAGGGTGCACATATTGAATTTGGAGGGAAACGAATATTTCTAAACCGAAAATCCAATTTGTCTTTGGATTAATGAATTAAAGAACTCTTGAACATTTTCACTTACAGCATATATATTAGTTCATTGAAATACCTGGAAAATCTATGTGTCATAAAAGTAGAAGCCAGCTGTGGGTCTTCTATAAATGTAGTGCTTTCAATGAAACCACACTGGGCCCAAGGGCAGGAGACCTGGAATTGAGGCTGGGCCCTACCACTGACTCACTCTGTGACCTTGTATATAAGTTACTTGACCTTTCTGGGCCTCAGCTTTCTCATATGTGTGAAATGAGAGAGGTTGGTCCCTTTCAGCTCTAACATTCCATGACTGCAGATAAATATAGAAATAAGATAAATACAACAATCTAGAAATAAGAAATATTCCCCAAAGTAAGCTTTGGGGTCAGTAGAAAAAGGTAGCAATGAAATATAATAAAAAAAGAATAAAATTTTAACCACTAGCCAGGGTAAACATTATTTCATTTAAAAATTAATGAAAAGGATTGTAATTTACAATTCATCAGGAGACTTCAGAACATACATATTGATATTTCTTTTTCTTTCTTTCTTTTTTTTTTCCTTCTACTTTGGTAGAAAACATATTGATATTTCTTTGCCATCATACACATGGGGGAGGAATGAGTTTGAGGCGACTTGTACAATGAGCACAATGCTGCGTTTGCATGCATAATGTTTTATAAAATTGGATGTTAGAAAAAGCTCAAGACCACATAAGGAATAAATGTCTATAAAGCTTGGCATTACAAAGAGGCTGAGAGGGGTTAACTAGTTGTTCCAGTTCAGATTTTGTTTTTGAGTTCGTTGCTATCAGATCCCACTATTTAGGCAAAAGTCTTAAAATCAAATATACTTCTGCCAGAGCCTTACTGGAGAACAGCCACCATGGTGAAGACAGGTATTTAAGAGCTGGCAATGCCAAACAAACCTAACACTTTTCTCTTTTTTCCATTTGTGAGTTAAAAAAAAATTTGTTTTTAACCCAAAGCAGGCCAGATGTGCTGGCTAAGTCAAATCAAAGATTTTGCACATTGAGCAATTAGTTGATCCAATATGATAAGTTGTTTTTTATTTATTTTTTTGAGCATATGCACCAGAGTCCCATAAAACATGAGAGTCCTTATTCTAACAATTTCTTAAAACCAAACAAACATATGCCTGACCAAGATGACAACATACACGTCTTGGCCAGAGACTGGTCATTGTAATGAGAGCCAAAATAATGGGAAAGGTTGGGATCAGTTGGAGAGTGATGGCTATAGTGATTCAGGGGCTTGAAGGAGTAACATCATTGGAATGCACACACATAGCACACACACACACACGCGTGCACACACACACACACACACACACAGTCACTCCAGGGATGCTGCTGTTGCTGCTTCTGGAACTGCACTTTGAGAACCATTGGCCTAGATTTTGGGCTTTAATGAGCAAAAGTATAATGCCCATTTCACATTGCTCATTATTCATGCGAATTTCTTCCTGCCAACCTTATTAAAAATGCCCCAGATGTGTGTCTATAACCATTTACTATGTATTCCTCTATAAATCTGTTCAAAGTATTCTAAAACTTTGCTTATTTCATATTATGTTTATATCATTATACTTTTTGCTGCCTCTTGACAAAGGCACTTCCTTATACCTCTTTCCCACTCTCTTGCCCTTTTAAATCCCGGATATCCTTGTCACTTGTTGCTGAAATACATCAAAGGCTTTGAAAGGACTGGGGGCTCTGGTATAGATATAGTCTCATTCTTACACGAAGCTGAACTGATAGCCCATAACAGAGATGAAGTGGGGAAAGCAGAAGCTTGTGTTCAGTAAAGTTGTACCTCCAATAAGTTTAATAATCACCACCAGTACTGGACGACTGACATTGGACATGGATTGGACAGTTTCACCTTTCACAAACAGGACACATTTTCACAGACTCTTTAAATCCTTGTATTCTTTTACTCAAATGGTAAGTAGTATTACTTCCATTTATGTAAAAATGTCAATGTACAGTATGAATGATCTAGGCATTCTCAGTGGCTTTAGTAGCCATTTCTGAGAGTCCCTTGGTAGTAACCATATTGAATAGCATTGGGTATCAGGACAATTTAATTGACCATCAGCTATTAACTCAAATGATTCCAGGTGATTAAGATATTTTCTATATTCTGGAGTTAGGCGTCAGGGAATTTGGCCTTTCCATGGTGAAAAATACATTTCTACAACTAGTTGATGCCTAACATCCTGCAAGTAGAACCTCATTCCTTTGGCTTAAGGCTTTTCCCCTGTTAAAATGCAAGTGACCCTCAAAAGAGGTAGCATTAAGCCTTATAATCTCAAAGTAAATGAATTTATCCCTTTCCTGAGAGCGTGTTTTTCTTAGAGAGGTGGAGAACGAAGTAGGAGGCACTGAGGAGAGTTGGTGCTGGGAAGCGAAGTTTGGGGAGAATGGAGCAGAAAGAGGAGAGGGAGGATCCTGGTGACAGACCTCAACTCAGTCACTCTTTTGTTGAAGGGCTGGCCCTGGGAGCATCCCTACTGAAATGGGTGTTAACTTGCCACCTGGAGCAGATTACTTAGAAATCAACTATGTTTTCCGATATTAACACTACTAAAGATTCTTTAATGTATAGGCATACAAAGACTTATGGCAATGGAAAAATAGATAGCAATAAAATATTTGGTGCAACAAGAGATAGGGAGTTACCTCCCATCCCAAATCAGGACTATACTTGTTCATAGGAAGAAGATAAACTGATATTACCTTAAAGAGTGCAAATCACAGGGCTGGGACGAGGGTAAGGCACTTGCATGGTCCTGAGAGTGGGCACCTCTTTGAATTTTGTGCCCTAGGCGCCTCGCTCACCTCACCCTAGTCCTGGCCCGAGCAAATCATATTAAAGCGAAAGCTCACCATTGTGTCACAGACTTGACGATAATGGAAGGCTGAATGAGTGAGGAACAGAGTACTGAGCATCAACTCGTCTTTTTCCCGAATTGTTCATTGATGAGGAAGAGGGCAGGTGCCTGGACCTGCTCAGACTGACAGGAATGGAGAAAACTGCAATAGGGTCTGTGTTGTCTAGATAGTTACACTGGATGTCAGGTGCAATGCTTGTTAGGAGAGCCTGGTAGGATCTCCTCTGTCTTTGTACGTTCAAGGTAATTTATCCAGATCAACTGGTCAGTTTGTGGTTATTATGCTAACACTAATTATTTTGCTTCCTGTTGTCTCACTTCCTTTATGGGTGAGTTGTTGTCTAGGGATGCAATTCATGGGATTTGGGGCTGAGAGAGAAGCTGGGGCTGGGGTGGTGGGGAGGCCCAGTCAGGAGCTAAGGCAGGCCAAGCTGTGCAGGCAAAGGAGAGGAGACACCAGCAAAGCTTGCTATTGTACTAAGAATAACTACCCTCACAAACATGTACTGACTATCCACCAAATGCAAAGCATCCTTGGTTACCAATTAACCTTCTCTCCAGGGATAGTGACTAGATCAAAGTCAGGCTAGCAGAGCCATCTGTTGCTACTGGTTGGAATGGGGAGGAGAAAAGGGGGTACGGATGACTTGAAATGGAAGCTGACCTTCTAGAGCCAACTTCATTTCACTCAAATCTCTTCTCTATTATACATTCAAAAATTATTATCATTATCATTTGTACTAGTAATTGTAGTAGTGGTGGGTTCTCTGTAAGCCTTCCTGAGGGGCTTTCAGCCTCTCTTCTCCAGTCGTGGCAGAGTAGGTGCAGAAGGCAGCAAACATTGTGGTAAGCGCCTGGGTGGGAGACACAGTGGTGTTATGATAATCAGAGGCAGGAGAGAGGTTGAGTGTTAGGAGTGGGGAAGATTCTTGGTATTCTGTTAATCAATGATTAGTAGATGTTTTACAGTTTGATTCTTTATTTGGGGCTATGTCTACCTGTTGCAAAATATTAAATGAGGCCAGGCACAATGGCTTACCCCTTTAATCCCAGCACTTTGGGAGGCCAAGGCAAGAGGATTGCTTGAGCCCAGGGGTCCAAGACCAGCATGGGCAACATAGAAAGACCCCATCTTTACAAGAAATTAGTTTAAAATTTAAATGAATACTTTCAGTCTTAAACATTCTCTCTAACCATACGATTTCTGCCCTGAATCCTCTTGTGCTAATGGGAATACCACTGGGTGGGGCACAGTGATGATGTAGAAGACACTCTAAAAATTCCAGGCATATAGGGTATTGTAGAGGAAGGCAAGACTAAAGGTAATGACAAACAAAAAGATGTCTGAGCATTCAGTTTTAGAATCTTTTGGGAAAACCTCCAGAGGTAGCAAGGTGAGGGGAAAGGCAAAACCCACTAGAAGTAGTAAACAAGAAACTTCCAGAAAAGTCAGCAGAAGTAGCAAGGCCTATATTATGTGAGTCCCATACTCAGCTTTAAAGTTTAACTACTCATAATGGTTCCTAAGGAGCAGACCCTGGTGTTCTTTCGCTTTTGCTATGCAAAAGCACAAACACCCCTTCATTTTCTACAGAGGAAAATGTTTGTTTTTTGGAATTCTGAGTCTGGAGCAGACAAATGTGGCATTCATATATAAACTGAGGCCAAGGATGAATTGATTTTATTTCAGGCAAAATCCCTAAAATTTGGAATTTGGTTAAGACCTTCACACCAAGTAGTTCCAATACCTTCAAAAGCAACTGGGCCTAGCTATTTATTATTTTAAGTGTCTTCTTTCTAAATCAGAAAGAAGTACTGATTGCAAGGGAGTTCGGGGGACCTGGCCTGCTTCCCTAAATCTCAGATTCAGAACTCTAACAAGAAAGGGTCTAGGCCTAGGGCTTCTCTTGTGAGAGAAGTTTTCTCAGTACTTAGTGTGGTTTTTCAGCTGCTCGGTCCAGCTGGAGTGTGGGCAGTTGAGCTATGACATAGATTCTCATTGGGCAATACGACCTATCAAAGTTGAGATCTGCCTATCTCTGGAACTCTTACTGCATCCTCCAAGAGGGTGACCATTGAATCTGTTGGGTGGGGGGTGAAGTAGGAAGGGGCCAGGGAACCCTCTTTGTGAAGCACGCTATGATTTCATTCGACTGTTCTTTTTGCCTCTTGAAGACGATAGACAATTAACCTTCCATCACTGATCAGCAGATTTTCTTTGCTCAGTGCTTTGTCTCCCCCCTCCGCAACCTCCCAGAAATCAGGCATACAAAAATCAAATGAATCACTGCTCTTGCTCTGCTTAGAAAATTGAGCTGACAAGAATAGTTAGTGCCTGTGAGCTTCATGGGGGTGGGGGTGGTGTGAGGTCACAATGATTTATTCTGAAGCTCTTTCAGTATGCCATTTACCCAGGTTCTTATGCTCTCCCCCTGCAAGGTTAGTTGAAAGCTGGTCAAACAGCAGAACCCCAATGGCAAAAAGTAGCCCTTTGTGTGTGTGTGTGTGTGCATTGTGGGCCATAGCAACTGGCAAGACTGCATTTTAGGGTTTGGATAGATCCTTTCAGTTTATATGTTCTCGGTTTTTGGAACAGAGTCAGACTTCCTTTAAACAAAACCAAACCAACCGCAAACCATGATCTGAATTGACTGGTGAGGAGCAAGATGCACTTACTTTCCATTCTCCTTGAGCCTTTGCTGATGCTGTTCTTTCAATTAATCACTCCCTGTAATGAATGTTATATGCAAATGAAATGAGAGTTCTTAGAATGCAGCATGAGCTGGGCACAGATCTTGTCTATCACTGTTGACAGACACATGGAGGATATCAAGGTGCACTTGTGAGTTACCTCGGCTAGATCTGAGTGAACAAATGGCTGTCTTGTTTGTCAGTCAAGCTTGGTTCATTCAAAGCAACCCAGTCCTGGTCTTTTCTAGCTAATGGGGGGGGTCTATATGTTTGTTGAAACTCATCACCCTGATCTCCATGTAGACAATCAAACTGAAAAAGGCATTAAGTTTCTGGACGGAGTCACAGTCATATTTTGCACCACAGAAGCCATCCAATCAACCCCATGCGGAAATAACTATACCCTGCAAACCTCTCACAAGTGCAGGGGAAAGCTAAACTGTGGTTGAGGAGGCATCAGAGTCTTTCTGTATTTGTACACAGAGCCATCAGAGCCTCCCCAGGAAAGTGAATAATGAGCAATGGCACCCTACGCCCCCCAGGTTTGGCAGCCTCCAATCTGCTCTCACACTGCACTCCTCAGTGACAGAGGCCAGGGATGGAGCAGCCGGGTCATTGAATTGAAAAACTGGCACATGTGCCCTGGCATCTGAAAATTTCTTCTTAGTTAGTGCACACCACTGGGGGAAAGTAAGAAGAAACTCGGGAGTCAGTCATGATGAGCTTATAAGTATGAAAACATAAAAATGTCTGAGGATGATTAAGTGCCAGATGATTTTAGCTCTAGATAAAACAGCCTCTCTCCTGCTGTCCAGAGTATGAGTTAATGTGAAAGAAATGTAGACTCTGTTGTTATTCCCTTGGTTCTGTTTAAAGACCCTTTCTCTTCCCCCTTCTCTACTCAAATTTAGTAAGTAAACCCTGCTTGTTGAGCCCAGGGCTTAGATATTGGGGTTATCAGTGGTTTCATAGTCTTTTGAAAATTGTGCAATAATTCTCCGAGCCAGTGGGTTAGTGGTCTTCAGCAGTTCAGCTGCTGAGGGACGAGACCTTGGAGTTGCCTTACTTCCCTTCTTCTGTAGCAAGGCCTTGAAATCGTCATTTCTGCCAGCATCTAGGTTGGCACCGCTGCCTGACCCTGTGGTGGTGGTAGACTCACTGATTGGAAACTCAGCTGTGTTCTTTATTGGTGAGTGGGAGCTCGGTCTGCCGCCCACAGAGGCCTCACCAGGTTCCTTCCAGCCGAGCAGCTTCCTTTTGGACCTAGATAAGAGGAAGTCTGGTTTGAGTGAGTTCACGCAGCAGACATTTACCAATGCTTCACAGACCCCCATGTCTGTGACACAATCCAGGCGGCAGCCCTGCAAGCAGTCATATTGACTTGCTTTTTCTCTCTCTCACCTCTAAATCCTCAGAGCCCCTTGTTGGACCCTTCTGTCCCCACATTCCTTTCAATACTCCCAGCTGGAGTCACTTGTCCTGTGCCTGTAGGCTCAGTTCTGCCCAGGTTCTGGGACCAGGGACGAATTTCAGGAGTGAAGGCTAGTAGCTCAGCGACTCTGAATCAGGACAGCCTGGGGACTGATCCTGTTCTGAACTGGTGCTGTAGCTCCAATAATAAACTTCTGCCAGTTTTCTTGTCACTGAGCCCCTACCTTGTAACCCTGTCGAATAACTGGTCCCCATCTAGTTCCTCCTTGCCTAAGTTCCTGTTTTGATATGCTGCCTAGTGCCCCACTTCACCTCTTGATGGGAGTTTTTGGTCCAAGGAATTCTGTTAAGGGTTAAATGTCTCTGACTATAGACAGAGCTAAGAGAGAACAGATGGAGCCACAATAGGCCAAGTGGTTGCTAGGAGACGAGGGGCCTCTCACTCTGCACCTGGTCCTCCTCTCCTCTCCCTTCCTCCACTTTACCCAGTGATGTCAGTGAATTTAAGCTGTGAGGCCCTGGACTGTGCTCACATATATGGGTATCTGAACTTAGCCTCCAGATGCAATTCTAATGGCTGCTTAGAGGTAGCAGTTTTTCTCATTTTTAATTTTTTTCTTTTTCTTTTACAGTTAGGATTTCAAAATGGAATAGCAGTTTTTCTTTAAGTACAAAAAGGGAAGGCAATTGCAATTATAATTAAGGAAATTGGTGCAGACCTGTGTATCACGGTAAATAAATCTTCAGTTGTGCGTGAAGCCACAAACACGTCATCATCATCCTCCGCAATCCATTCGGCTGTTTTATCACTGATTAAACTTTTTTCTTCGGTGCCTTGTTCCACAGAGCTCCCTAGATATAAACACCAAAAGGAATGACTTTGACCACAATAGATAGGACAAAGCGCATTCTCATATGTTATTTCATTTGATGTTCAAAGCAACTCTGTGAGAGCAGCAGGGTGGAGAGAGATTTTTAATATCTCCAGGTGGAGCGAGTAGTGAAGTTCAGCATGGATCCCTGTTCTCTCATGCCTTTGTCATTACAACAGGTGGCCTGATCATTCTCTTGTTTTAAAACTGTATATCATTTCTCTAAATGAAGGAGCTGGGAGTGATCTAAAGTAGTGACTCTCACCTGGTGGGTTAGAGTGGGACCTATCTGAATCTCAGAGGGGAGCCTGTGGAGTCTGAGGAAGCGTTTTCTACAACTACCTATGGCTTTGATTTATTTGCTTGGCTTAGTCATGATTGATTCATATTGAAAGTCCAAACCTGCATACAGAAGGCCATGAGATTTTGACTTTTGGTGTTAAGGGCTCAGAAAAGGAAGAGAAACATGGATGAACCCTGACAACATTAAGCTAAGTGGAATAAGCCAGTCACAAAAAGACAAATACTGTATGATTCCACTTATGTGAGGTGTCCAGAGTCAAATTCATAGAGCCAGAAAGTAGAATGGTGGTTGCAAGGGAGGAATCTGCCGGGAGAGGGAAAGAGGAGTTGTTGTTTACTGGGTACAGAGTTTCAGTTTTGCAAGATGAAAGGAGTTCCGGAGATTGGTTGCTCAACAATGTGAATGTGTTTAACAGGAATGAACTGCATGCTTACAAATGGTCAAGATGCAATGTTATGGGTACTTTACTGCAATGAAAACAAAAAGAGACAGAAAAAGAAAGGATGAGAAATGTTACGCATTATGTTTCATGGTTCCAGGAAGACCCAAAGAACTCAAACCACCCAAGAAAGTGAGCTCCCTTTCCTCTGGAAGGCACAAACAGAGGCTGCTGGTGGCAACATATTTCATTGTTTCAGATGCCTCCAAGCCTGCCAGAGCACTTGAACTCAGTCTGGGGGGGCTATTGAGTCCCATGTAGGGAACTAAGTTCAGTGCAGCCAATGAAAAGTACTGTACAGTGAGGTGGAGAAGTAGTTCCCATGACAGGATGCATGCTTGACTAGGGAGGTGGGATGCTGAAGTCCTAGGGTACTAGAACCTAGCTTGATTTCATTATCTCAGCAGTAGGGTTTAGAGGGGAGAGTGGCCTAAACTGGGCCTTGGAGATCTGCCTCGGGCCAGTCTTGATCTCAAGGGCAGTAAGGCTGGCACATGGTTCCTATTTAGAGTAACCCAAACCCTCAAGAGGTGCCCACTACTGACTTGGGATCAGGATAATTATTCTGGGGCATCTGCTTCCATCTCTGGCACCCCACTCTCACCCTCATCTCTCCTGTGATTGAAGGAAAAAGCTAGCAGACAGTATACTAACCCAGAAGGCTTGCCTCCCTTTCACTGTCAGCCTGCGGAGTTGAAGTCACCCTTTGACCAGGTGATTGCAGGTCATCACCAGCTGGGGGACACTTGGCGTCTTCCTCCAGTGTGATGATGGGGCTGAGAGAGAGCCTTGGTTCTGACACACAGGCCTCCATTTGAGCTGTGGGAGAGGTGAGAGGCAGGTACAGCACGCTGGGTTTTTTTGGTACGGGAGGTGGAATCTTGCCTTTCTTTTTCTCAGCTTCTTCCTGGCTCTGGAGGCTAATTCTTTCAGGCAAGGCCCTCACCTTGGGGCCCTCGTCCTCCACACTTCCCTGGGGAGGCTGCTGTGTTCCTGAGAAGAAAGCACCAGAGGAACTGGCAAAAGGCGTGAAAACAAGAGATGAGGGTGCTGTTGACTCCCCTGGGCTTCTGCCATCTGGGAAGCTGGAGGACTTTGGTTTCCGCGCCACCGTGTAGCTGTCTTGAGGGAGTTGTCTCGCATGTTGAATTGAGCTCCTGGGGAGCATAGCCAAGGTTGGTGAAGTTAGTGGGTACTCCTCGGGGACAGATGGTGGCTTGTGGACCAAGCTTGGAGGCCTTCGGGCCACTGGAGGCTTCTCAGCTACAGGAGGTTTCATCTTTCTCTCTGGCAAGGTGAAGACTTCTGCTCTGGTTTCCTCGGCACAGTCAGGGCTCTCAATGTCATCTTCCGGCTCAGACTTGCTGACCGACCTCAGGCGAACAGAACGTAGGTCGGACTGAGTAACCATAGGCATCACTGGCTGGTTGGGACTAGTTTTCTGGGCCAGTTTGGCACCAAAATTTGTCTCTGAGTGATGCCGACTCACCTTGGTTTTGCTTCGGATGGAGATACTCACCCCAGACAGATCCAGGTTGGGTGAAGAGGTCAGTGGTAGGTCAAATGATAGCCGTGACTTGGAAAATCTCTCCATTGGTGACGTTGGGGGTAGTGATGATTTCCTCTCAGGTACCACTGGACGTACTCGGACACTGCTGCTTGGATGGGGTAAGTGGCCCATGGTCAAGGACATGGAAACAGTGGGAGTTGGTGTCTCTGACTGGCTGGAGTAGCCACTGGAGGGTGACATCAGTCCCGGGGGCCTTCCTGGGGAGGATATCTCCCTAGCTTCCACTTCGATGGAGAGTTGGGAAGGTGTAGTGGCTCTGGAGGTGGAAGGCGAGGCAAGAGACTCTGAGCTGCCCTGAACTTGGGTGCACTCAATGACTGTGGTGCCGGTGGCAGTGCTGGAGCTGGACAGGGATTGGTAGGTGTCACCAGACTTCCAGTCAGTAAGATACCAGTGGTGGGAGAATTGTGTACCTTCTGGATCTTTGAGGTTTGGCACAGCTGGGTGATCCTGAGCATCTGGGTGGGACGAGTGATGTCCTTGGTGTTCCAAGGAGAGGCAAAGACTCTTGGGCCTCTGGTCCTTGGATAGTGCTTCAGGCAAGAGGCCTGGCTCATCTTTGACTAGTGAGACACTGCGTGTGGGTGGGCAAGGCTTCTTTTTGGCCTTCCTGAGTGAGATACTCTTGGACCTCTGCCTTCTGTGCTGGGCCTCTTGTTGGGCACTAAGGGAGATGATGTTGTCAGCACTGTTACTGCCCTCAGAGCTCGTACTGGCAAAAGGCAAGGCACAGGCCTCACTGGCCTTCTGCTCCTCATCATAGTCAACATCTGCGGTGCCTGAGTCTGTGGGCACAGACAGTGACCGCTCCCGGAATCTGCTGGCTCCACCGGGGCCTGTCTCCAGCCTCGAGGTCCCACTGGTCAGAAGGCCAATCTTGGAGGGTCTTTCTGGCATGTGCCTTCGCTGAATAAGGCGCTCAGGGTAGCCAGCTGACCCACTGCATCCTGCTGGGTTATCACGAGCAACAAGGAGAGTAGCAGCCTCCTTAGGAACCAGAGGTGGGACTGTGTTCACAGAGACCCAAGAATTCCCGCAGGAAGGATTTTTCCTACTTTCATTGACTTGATTGCTCTTGCTGGTGGCACTTGGAGTCATGTAGGTAAAAGCATCTCCCTTCCAGGAAGTGGAGAAGGTTGATTCTGTAGGTCCATTGCAAGAAGTGGGGACACTGTACACCATTCCCATGCTCTCCATGCCAGGAGGGTTTGGGCCACTCTGTGCCTGGTGAGGTTCGTCTGGCTCACTGGAAGGAGTTCTCAGTACTGGCGAGGTAAGACTTGGGAACCGAGCGTAGTGACCAACTGCAACTCTTCCATGAACCCCTTCCGGAACTGAGTGACTGGGCCTGATGTCGGAGGTGGTCGAGTGGGCCGCACTGCCTGCTGGGCTGTGGCTGTGACCTGGAGGAAATAAACACAGAACATGAGCACTGCAGCAAGGGATCTCCTACCAGCTGTTTTGAGACAGGAGCACCAACTTTTTGCCAAGAAGCATTTTTGCCAACAGTTTGGTCAGAATTCCTTGGTTCTTCTCTTCCATAGATGCGGATGCTGGGGAAGTTGGGTTCTTGCCCGTCACCCCACAGTGAATCACAGGGTGCCTTTGAATGGTCCAGATGGCTGCCAAATACTTTCCAGCTTTGATTATTCCCCTTAGAGCTGAAGTGTCACGTGGGACTACCTTGCATTTTTCCCATACTTTCACCCCAGGCTCATAAAACTATCACAGACCTCAGTGTTCATCCATTCGGAGATGAGAGTAGAGGCTTTCGAACTAAGGACAGCATGGTGTGACTCCTGGCTCCAGCAGTAGCTCTGGAGTACGACCAAGCTGCAAAGCTTAGAGTCTGGTTGCATTGTTTGCACCTGTCACTTTTAGGCTTTGCAACATAAGGCTGAGGATAACCTGCAGATGTGAGGAAACCGTTTGGATGTTCCAAATCCCCAAAGGTTTTCTCGTACACACAAACAATTAATACTGTCATGTCATTATTATTATTAGTAGTAGCATTATGACTAGTACTGCTATGAGAATTTGTAGTAACAGCCACCATTTGTTGGACACTGACTATGTACCACGCACATGGTAGGCAAGTTACATACAATAACACTAATCTTCATGCTAATTCCACTAGGTTGGTATTATTATCCCCAGTTTATAGATGAAGAAGCTGAGGCTCAGAGAAGTTATGTAACTTGGCCAAGGTCTTCCGGTTAGTAAGCGGAGAGGCCAGGGCTCTTATCCTCTGCTATCTCCCTGGGCTGTGCTCTTTGGCCGGCATTCACTTAATGGTAATGGTTCTGTTAAGATGATAGTGAGGATCCCTCTCCCCTCATCTATTTGCCTAAATTTGGCATATCTGGTTATATTACATTTATAATGGGAAACAATGTAATGGATTCATTAGCCTGGGAGACCTATCTCCGTATTCAGTTGCCACCCTTGATGAGAGGCCCTTAGCTATTCTTAATTACCATACTGGTTTTTTCAGGACATCCGAAAGCTCCCCTCCCAATTATTCCTGTTCCCCATCACCACAGTATGACCTGAGTGGCAGGATTGGTGGGAGTGGGTAAGGGAAATGGACTGGGGAGTCAGCTGTGGTGGGGTCACCTTGGTCTCGCTGGGGAAAGTTAGAGAATCCAATAATGGTCCGCCTCCGCCTCAGGGTGGACTTGGGGTTCACGGCTGTCTCTGTGTTAAACAATGAGTGTCGCAAACTTGCATGTTTATCAAACTGCTGCCCTGTAGCCAAAATAAAGACACTTGGGTGCATCCTGATTTCTGTTTAAAACATAGTGGAAACTGGCCCAAGGTAGAGAGAAGGAATGATGGCAGTCGTGATGAGCATGAATAGCGTCTAAGGCAGGTGGCACTTCTTCCCCATCCTTCCCAATTTGGCCCTGGGCATGCATGCTGGGTTTCTCAAACATGGAAGTGGCAGTGGTTTTCAACACTGGGGTACATATTGAAATCAACTGGGCAGCTGTTGAAATTGCAATACCTGGCCCCCACCCCAGAACACTGAAATCTCTGAGAGTAGGGCTCACATAGAAGCATTTTCTAGAAGTCTTCAAGTGATTATTCAGAGGTACAGCCAGGGGTGAGAACCACTGGTATAGAGCAGTAGGCTGCAACTGGATGCTGCTTGATTGTGATCTTTCCTCAGAGAGGGCCTTTATATGGGCCAGGCGAGGCCAGTGTCTCCAAGAGGCTGCCCTACTGCCCTCCACCATCCAGGAAGATGCCTGATAGTCTGTCCTACAGTCACCTCATCACATTTTACCAAATCTGGCCCGCAGCATGGTGATTGAGCTCTATTTCCTTCTCTCTCTCTCTCTCTTTTTTTTTCTGGCACTGACTTTTCAATTCAGGAAAATTATTGACACAGATTACAGTTATCATTTCCTCTGAGTTACATGGTACTTTCAAAATACTTGTTAATTCAGTTTGTTTACTGACTTGATAATGTTTTCAAATTTAATTAAATTAAAATGGAAGATTTACTTAGTAATATGCCTTACTTAATATTATTAAAATTTTTTTTAGAGCTCTATTTCTCTTAAAGTGCTAGGTCAGTCTTTGGGTTCTGGAAAATGCCTGGGTCAGAGTCAGGGCAAGGCAGGGTGATGCGGCAAGGTCTGTGGTTCCCCCTCCCTTTCTCTCATTCAGCAGCTGGCTAGTCAGACCCTCCCCCACCAGCCACACAGCCGCTTACATTCACAGACATCTCAGCAGGTGGCTCTGTGGGAAAAGCTCAGGGACAGACTCACTGAGAGGAAGACAGATATTTATTTATTTATTTAGAGACAAAGTCTCACTATCACCCAGGCTGGAGTGCAGTGGTGCGATCTCAGCTCACTGCAACCTATGACTCCTCGGGTCAATTGAGCCTCCCACCTTAGCCTCCCAAGTAGCTGGGGCCACAGGTGTGCACCACCACACCTGGCTATTTTTTTGTATTTTTGGTAGAGATGGGGTTTCACCATGTTGTCCAGGCTGATCTTGAATTCCTGAGCTCAAAGTATCCACACATGCCAGCCTCCCAAAATGCCGGAATTACAGGTGTGAGCCACTGTGCCTGGCCAAGATAGACATTTAGACACGAAATGTTCAACATCACTTCTGGAGTCTTTCCTCATCAGCCCTCACTCCTTTTGGTATATTTCCCTAGTCTGTGGGCTCTATTTCCTGCCTCTGATTTTCTGAAATGATGCCAGTGACAGTGGAGGACCCCATATCCAGGGAGCATTGCCATGTGTGGCCAGAGCTGTCCTCATCTTCATCAACATTTCCCAGCAGAGCACAGGCTGGCGCTGGCTCACAGGACCCCTCTGATCCTTTTAGGTTACTGAGATCAAAGTTTCATCATGTCACTGGCCCTATCTCCTCAAAGGACTGGCCCTCCTTCTATTCACCTTATAGCTGATGGACTGTAGATCATGGATTAATAGTGAGCATGGTATAGTGTGCCATATGCCCCCAGAGCCACAGCCAGTTGGGCTACCGACAATACATCATGTTACCCACTCTCAAAGTTGTACTGGGTCCCCTTTTGGTCTTTTTGGCCTTAGGACCTTTCTACCACTTATTTTCTTGAAAACTTGCCAAACAAGTTGAGGAGGCCCACCTTGCTAGAAGACTAGTGTCCAGCAAAAGTGCCACCAGACCTTTGGTCTGTGCCCAGGTGTGATCATCCCTTGTTACCACCAGCACTCCAAACCCCATTCTCCCGCTTCGACTCCTGCCAGTGTTCTGCAGACCCAGCTCTGGGCACAAGAACTTGTCTTTCCCAGACCCAAACAGAACTCACAAACTTTATGTTTCCATATATGCTGATGAGCACACAAATTCATAAGCCTGTAGAGCCTTCTGTTAAGAAAATTTGGTTTGCTATCAACTGGTCTCATTAGGGAGGCAGTGCCAGGAAGGGGTGAAGAAAGAGCAGCCAGAGCCCCCTCTTCTGCATGCCTCAATTCCCTGGTGAGAGCCATGACTGTGACAGCACAAGGTGAGCTGGCAGCAAAGAAAGTCTCACTTCCCTCCCCCAGCACCCAGTGCATTGAAGAGGATGGCCTGTAGAGGGATGAAGGGAAGCAGACAGAGGTGGTGCTAAGCAACTCTACCAGAGATGTTGATGGGCACAATGTCAGACTGTGTGGAGCAAGGCTGAGGCCACCGCTTCTCCTCTAGGATGGGCAGAGGGAAGAAGCTATTCCAGGCAGTTTGCTTGTCGGCTGTGGTAGACAGGCTCAGGGAGGCCTCGGGGGCCCTCACACCCTGGGTGGTAGTTTCATCCTCACTCAGCTGCCGTTTTGTAGGCTGTTGGGAGAGAAGGTGATGGAAAGGGTGTACTCCTGCCTGGCGATGAGCCAGTGCCCACAAGATGGCTGTTTGGGCTGGGTAGTTGAAAGCTTCATCTGGGAGGCAGAAAAGCGTGGACAGGCCGCCAGGCCAGACACCTGCTGTGCAGGGCCCATCTGGGTGGGGCCTCAGGGTAGCTCTCCTGGTGAGCACAGGTGAGCAGCTTCCAGTGGGTAATGCTAGCAGCTGGAGGTCTCTGTCAGTGGGCTCATGCTGGCTCTCCCAGGTGGGGGATGAGGCAACTCACCATCAATACAAACTCCAGACGCCTGGCAGACTGGGGCCTTGGGTTGGGGGTGGGCTCAGGGGCCTCATCAGAAGAGCGAAAGGTCTGCCCCAGAAGTCTGGCCTCCGAGTACTGTTCCTCATATTCTTCTGAAAAATAGCACAGTGGAGACACACTCTAGGGTGCCACAGCCGAGCGCTGGGTTGGGGAAGGGTCACCAGCCAGGGCTCCTGCCCTAGCTGTGAGGCCTGACTCTCATTGTTTCTTTAGGCTATTTCTGGGTGTTTGAGATTTGGAAATGGAAAAGTGCAGGGTTGAGAAGAGAAAGTCAGTATATTCATGCTGTGGTGGTTTGGGGACCAAGCCCTTATCTCAAAAACCCCCGCCTTGAGTGCTCAATTACAAAAAGAGGTTCAGGATGCAGACACCTTTTGCTACTTTGGACTGCAAGATCCTGTCTTTGAAGCCCTGCAGCTCTTCAGGTTTTCTGCGACCCTACCAAGGAAATGACCTGTGTCAAGCAAGAAGAGATTTACACCGGGAAGTCCAATCTGGAGTTCTCTCTTGGATGTCAAGAACTCTTACTTGAGCTTTTGTGGGTCAGGTTCCCTGCACCTTAGTCCTGCTGTGAATGGTGTCAGGTCTAGGAGGGCTAAGGTGAAGGAGAGGGAAGGAGGAGGTAACAGCATAAAAGAGGCAGAAGTTCAGTGGCATCATCAGTGAATAAGGATGCACAAGATTTGAATGGGGTTGATTGAAGTGATGAATTTGATGAATACATGAAGACAGTGAGAGTAGAGAAGGAACATTCATGCTCAATGTACACTGAACAAAGCTCTTAGAATCATAGAGATTTGGGGTTGTTTTTAGGGTTCTTTGATCCAACACCTCATTCTGTGTCCAGACTCCCTCCTCAGTAGCCCTTTTAGATGCTTCTTCAGCCTCGATGCACACACCTGCAGGTAATGGGAGCTCCCTCCCTCCCAAGGCAGCTCATTTCTTCCACGGACAGTTGGGATTGTCAGGCATGTCAGAAAGTTCTTCCTTATCTGGAGGTGGAATGTGCCTCCTTCTGGGTTTCCACCCACTGGTCCTAATTCTGCCACGGTAGCAACACAGAGCACATAGACTCTTTTGCTGTGTGGCAACTCCTCTGTTATCTGAACACAAGGCTCATGGTGACCCTTGGCATCTTGCTTTTCCAAGGTCACCACTGCCCTGGTGGGGGGTGGGGGTTATTGCTGTTATCCTATTGGTGGCCCATCAGCAGTTTTCTAGTTGCCATTAGAGTTAACCTTCATTAATATAGATAAAGGACTGCTGACGAAACCCCTTTTCATGCTTAACATCCACTGAGCACCTCTTGGGGGATGAGGAGGGAATCCAGCTGTGTTCCAGGTGCTTTTGCAAACCTAAGGGTAGTAAGATACGATTTTTTTTTTTTTTTTTGAGACGGAGTCTCCCTATGATGCCAAGACTGGAGTGCAGTGGTGTGATCTCAGCTCACTGCAGCCTCCGCCTCCTGGAGAATCAAGCGATTCTCTTGCCTCAGCCTCCTGACTAGCTGGGATTACAGGTGCCCACCACCACGCCCGGCTAATTTTTGTATTTTTAGTAGAGATGGGGTTTCAACTATGTTGGCCAGGCCGGTTTTGAACTCCTGACCTCAAGTGATCCGCTCTTCTTGGCTTCCCAAAATGCTGGGATTACAGGCGTGAGCCACCGTGCCCGGCGGTAAAATGTGATTCTTTACATCGAGAAGCTCAGGTTGGTTAGGAGGACAAAATTGGTGACTCCTGGGTGCTGTGTATAGGGCTTACTTTGGTGAGGTAATAGCTACCCAGGGGGCAGTTATTGCAAGAGCAGAGTGAGTGAGGCCTAGAGTGGGAGATTCTGCAGATGGCCCCTTTGTCTTCTGGTGCCAGGATCCAAAAGGTATAGGCGATGTGGCAAGAGAGGGGGCTGGAGGGAATGTGGGCCCACATTGTGGGGGTCTCCCACCCAGCTATCGGTGAATTACATGACTTATGGCCCTGCCTCAGTCTCTGTCCTTGTTTCCCCATGGAGTACTGAGCTGAAAAAAGGGGGTGGTGGGGGAAAACAGCCCTGGAAATAGCCTCTTTCAGAATTATTAGGCTGAAAGGTGAAAGCTGGAAACTGCTTTGTCGATTGGTTTTAAACTGTTTTCTCTGTTTCCCTTGCTGGTCCCTGTCCTCTTTCTTCTTTGCCTCCCTCCTGCCGCTGCGTATCTTTCCTCTGGGCTCGGCCGCAGCCCCCCTCCCTCTCGGTACCTTGCAACAGGCTCTGGAGATTGAGCTGCGCCTCTCGAAGCAGCTCCTCTACACTCGGAGGCCTGCCCGAGGAGAGGAACACGTTCACTGGCTGTCGCCATGACGACCTCGAGTGGGCAGTCGCTGTCGCATTTTCCCGACCCGAGTTAGCTGCAGCTAGGGAAGGAGAGAGTCAGTGAGAGGCACAGGCGAGCTTGGGGGGAGCGGCGCGCGGCGGCCAGTGGGCGCCCGCCGTTCCCCAAGGCCCGCCTCTGCGTGGGGCGGGGGGAGTGCGAGGCTGCGCTTAAAAGGCGAGGAATCGCCAACCGCAAGATTTTTCCTCGACAGATTCTGCCGCAGTCCGCTCCCTCCCGCTCCGCTCGTCTCTGCCCGCCTGCCCGGTCGCCGCCGCCGCCGCCGCCGTGTCGCCCGCGTCCTCCGGGCCCAGTACCGCCGCCAGCCCTCTCCGGCCCCGGCGAAGAGGTAACGCGCCCCAGGCCGAGCCGCTGGGCCCTCCGCCCCGAGCGCCGTCCTCCAGCTCGCCCCGGTGGGTGTGGCCCTGCCTGTCCCGCGCCCCGCCGCCGCACTTAGGTCCCCTCCCGCGTCCAGTCGCCGCATTTCGGCCTCCTCCTCCTGTGGCCCGTAGCTCCCGTCCCCTTTTCCCCACTACGGAGCCCCAGGACCCTGGGCTTGTCAAGATGTCTGAGGCGACAGGAAATCTCAACAGCCTCCGCATGGCGAATGTGGCCCTGCGTGAAGAATTAAATGCCCTTCGCGGGGAGAATGCCAATTTGGGCCTCCAGCTGGGAAGAGCCCTGGCCGAGGTTAATTCCTTGAGGGGCAATGTCTCGAGCTACATCCGCTGGCCAGTGCCCATAGTGCCCGTCCTAGCGGAGGAGAACTTGGAGTTCCCGCTCAGTGAGATCGAAGCCATTCCTGGGGGACAGCTGCCCTTCTCATGCCGGCCTCCCCCACGCGCGGAGCCCGAGTGTATCTCGGATGATCTTTTGATTAACGTGATCCAGGATTGCAGCACCCCCGACGGGCCCGCTGACCCTCCTCTGCTGCCCATCCCGCCCCCGCCAGCACTGCCCCCGCCCGCGTCAAAGGAGCCGCCCCCGCAGCCACCTCTGCCACCGCTGCAGCGGCCTGAGATAGAGCCCTTTTCAGGCGACCCAGTCTACCTGGCTGAATTCCTGATGCAGCTAGAGACCTTCATAGCCAACCATGAGGATCATTTCCCTGGGGGCGCCGAGCGGGTGGCCTTTCTGATCTCCTTTTTCACTGGCGAAGCCAAGGACTGGGCCATCTCGGTCACTCAGGAGGGAAGCCCCTTGCATGCCAACTTCCCGCGCTTCCTGGATGAAATCCGTAAGGAATTCTGTGGCCCCATCCCCCCACGTGTGGCTAAAAAGGCCATTCGCAAGCTCAGGCAGGGCGACTGTACCCTCGGCAGCTATGCAGATGCTTTTCAGTTCCTGGCTCAGTTCTTGTCTTGGGATGACTGCCGCCTCCAAAACCAATTCCTCAAAGGCCTGTCGGAATTCTTCCGCAAGGAGCTTTTATGGTCAACAGAAATGGCTGATCTGGATGAGCTGATTCTAGAATGTGTGGAGATAGAAAGAAAAGTGCGCGTCCCCAAGCCTATCCCGCTCCCTGGGGTTCGCAATATCCTCTTCCCTTTTGCTCCGAGTCCCAGTGAGGAAGAAAGTGAAGATGAAGAGTACTACAGTGAAGATGAAGACCAAGAGGCACGCAGGCACAGGCTTCACCCCAAGGACCAGAGGAAGTGCATAAGGGCTTTTCAGCAAGAGATGATGGAGAAGGAGGAGGAGGAGATGAAGAAGGAGGAAGAAATCAAGAAGGAAGAGGAGGAGAAGGAGGAGGAGGAAGAGGAAATGAAACAGAAAGAGGAGGAGGAGGAGATAAGCAACAAGAATGAGGAGGAAGGACAGAGTAAGGGTGAAGAAGATGAAGATGAGGATGGGGGCCAGAGACCAGAGCAGGAGCCACAGCAGGAGCCAGGGACTGAAGAGACCGATGGTGAGGCAGAGGAGGAGCCCCTGGATGAGGCCCAAGATGATGACCTAGATGAGCTGATGGAGATGGCGCCGACCTTTGTTCACGCGTCATCCCAGACTTCTGGTCCCACAAGTGGTTACCATGCCGAAAACTTCCTGGGTGCATCGCCTCCCATAATACAACCCAGCAGACGGAGGAACCAGAATCGTGTCCCACTTCTGGAAGGCCTTCCAGGCACCAATTCACCATTCTACAGCTCGCCCCCACTGATTCGCCGCACAGGTCGCTTGGGGCAACGCCAAGTTCGAAGACGGCCCCCTGTGCTTTTCCGCCTCACTCCGAGACAGGGAGGCCACCGAGCTGCTCGTGGCCGAATTCGAGTGTGAGTGCTGGGGCCAGATGGCCACCCAGAACACACCCTTCTTTTGCGTCCCCTGCCCCTGCTATTGCTGTCATACCTGCCCCATCTGCTGACCAGACTTCAGGGAGTTTCAGACCTGCAGAGCCTGAAGAAGACCCGCAGAACTCCAGACCATCTTGCAACCATGACCAGAGAGTGACGTGTGGCCAACCAGGGTCACCTGAGAAAGGAGGGATTAGCAGTAGCTGCCCTCTTGGCATGTACTCTGCTCAGTCCTGCCACGAGCTGGAGGGCAAGTTTCTGGGCCTGTTCCCATAAATGAACTGGTCACCCTCTTGTCTCTCTCCTCTGGTTGTTCCTAACCCTCACCTCTCCTGCGTTTCTTCACCCTATGTTCTACAGTTTTATCTCTCACTGACCCAATTGGACTTCACCCAATGCCTCACTGACCTGCCCCAATGAGCAAGAGGATAGGCTACCCTGAACTCCTAAAGCCACTGAGGCCAGTTACTGGATAGACTCAATGGTGGGCAAGGTGGTCTCAAGAAATGTCCCTAGAAGCCTACACTCTTCATGCCACACCTCCAGCAGAGGGCCTGGAAGAGGACCCGACATCTAGCCCAGTGAGAGTGTGAAAAGCCACATGTCAAATGGACAACTTGACCGAGATTTGCCCTTGACTCACTGTGCAGGCTGGTTCCACTTACAGCACTAGAATTTACCTTTGCATAGACTCCCCTATCAGGGCTCTTGGACTGGCTTGCCTCATCTGGAGCCCTTTCCTCTCACCACATTGCCCTCCTGGGCACCCCCGGTGGACAGCGCCCAACATTGCAGGCTCCACCACTTCCCTTGATGTTGCCTAAAGGGTAGCCAGTTGGGATTCGGGGAGGAGAAGGAGGAAGAAGAGGAGGAGGAGAAAGACGCAGTAATGATCATTCTGCCATTGTAGAGAGTGACTCTTTCCTAAGGGAAGGTGGTCTTCTCCCCCTGCCAGGCTTTGGATTGCAGCCCCCAGTCAAAGGTATTTGCAGGACATTTTCTATCCCTGGAGTTGCAGAGGAGGCCCAACTGGCCATTCTGTCTGGGACAGACAGAGGGCCCATGGCCTGTTCTGAGCTCCCTTCGACTTCAAGGATCCCTTAGTTTTGAGAGGAGAAAAGAAGGCTGCACCCACCGTGGCCTCACAGCTGGGATCCCTTTTCATGTCTTTGACCTGGGGGCCAATCCCTGGCCTGCTGCTGTGCTTTAGTGACACAGTAAAGCTTAAGAGGGTGGCTGCCACCTAGGAACTCCTGGGACTTCTGGGTACAAGCTCAGGTGCCCTTATAAAGAGACCCGCTGCTTGCCTTGAGTCCAGAAAGCACTGCTTCTGCAGTGAAAAACACCCATTTACTATGTCAGTTCTGGCCACAAAATGCCAGCCAACTCCACTGCTGGCCTGAACTGCCCCTGGACACTGGACTTTTGCACAGTGCCTGGCAGCAAAGCAAGTGTGGCCAGGGTTTGTGGCCAAAGGGAAGAAAACATAGTAAATTCAACCTCTGTTCCTCATGGGAGTCTGACCAATAACATCAGCCCGACCTTAGGATCTTGGGCCTGGATGGAGGCAAGAGGAAGAAGCTGGAGGAAGAGGAGTTGCAGAGAAACCCAGTCCTCCGACTGGTTTCTGGTGAGGTCTCTATTCATCAGTGGGAGGTAAGATGCCTTTTTCATTAGCACTTTTGTTTCTCAGCCTGGGGAATCAGTGGAGTTGGGTTCCTATAACCTGTTGCTACCTTTTAAAAAGATCCCTTCTCTCCAAAGAGAAAAGTAATACATAATCGTTAAAGAAAGTTTGGAAAATGGAGAAAGCTATAAGGACAAAAAACCCCAGACCTTCAGAGTCCCATCACATAGATGCAAGCACTATTAACACTTTGCTGCCTTCCTTTCTAGTGTGTTCTTGGTACGTCTTGTCAAAGCTGAGATCATTCTGCCAGTTCCTGATCAGCAGGATTTAAAATGGCTGCCACCTGTGCAGTCATGCATGCTGAATAATTCATTTAAGCATTCTCCTAATTTGTTGGACCTTTCAATTGTCGGGTTTTCCCCATCCGCACCAGGGCAGGAGTAAACAACTTTGTAAAGAAAAATTTGTCTGTTTTTCAGCTGATTTTGTCTAATTTTCTCAGGAGTGCATTCCAGAAGGGGACCTGCTATTCTTCGAGGCTGTGAACCCTATTTGCTGATGGCCGACACTCTGGCCCTGCTGCCTCATGTCCCTGTGGAGACGTGTGAAGGACGGGTGCCTTACACCCACAATTCCAGGGACCCTTCAGCATAGGCCCTGCCTGTTCCCATGGTACTTCTCACCCTGAGTCCTCAGAACCACAGCCAGGGACAGAGCAGATGAGCCGTGAGCTGGTTTCCACCCTCTGGGGGCAGGAAGGGCTTGGGCTTCCCTTTGAACCTCTTCCTCCCTTTCCCAGATCTTCAATATTTGTTGTGATATAACAGCCATAAGAGCTGTAAGAGGAACTGTGGGCTTTGGGAGCTTTCTTGGGTTGAAAGAGGGGTGGGGGGAGGGGATGCATGCAGGGGTATGAAGGCAGCCCAAGGTCTCCCAGAAGCTCGGGAGGAAACCCGTTTGGAATATATGTGTTATTGTTTCATTACTGTGTTGTGAAGATAAGAAACTGCTCTGTATGCTAAAGCTTTCTCTCCGCTATAAAAATATAAAGGGTGTGTAAAGATTGTGTCTCTTTGTTTTTAAGCAAACATAGATGGGTATAGAGTAGGCATCGGGTGCTTC